CCAAACCCTAAAACCCTAAACCTTGAACCCTAAAGCCCTAAACCCTAAAGCCCTAAAGCCCTAAACCCTAAAGCCCGAAAACCCTAAACCTAAACCCGAAAGCCCTAAAACCCTAAACCCTGAACCCTAAAACGCTAAACCCTTTTTGGGGGGTCCTTCAGATTGGTCGGCAGCCATCTGGCCACTCCCCCCAGGGCTGCAACAGCCAGGGCGGACAAGGCACCCAATGTGGATTGCAGGGCCTGTGTTTAGGGTTTAGGGGTTTAGGGGTTAGGGTTTAGGGGGCCTGCGTCAGGGATGAAGTGAAATTCTTGCAGCAGCCTTGAAAGAACGATATGTGGAAACCACAAGAGATCTTTATGCAGCCCAAAGCACGCACACATTCTGTGTGTCCATAGATGTGTATGTATGTATGTATGTATGTATGTATGTATGTAGGTATGTATGTATGTAATTCAGCCCAGCGTCGGCGCCGTTTAGAGCGTTGAGGGCTCCAGTGCATTCTAACTAACGCTGCGCACTCCACAGAACGCCCGGAAATGAACATGTATGTATGCATATACAACTACAGTCACTTACATATAGACAGAAAACACATCTACCCATAGGCCCCTAAGTAGTACCTTTTTGGGATTACCTTATAGGATTCTACAAATATAAACCATAAAAAAAGGAACTACTTAGGGGCCTGGGTAGAATCTGTCTGTGAGGTTTTGACACGCAGAGAGACACAGACACACCGAGACCCAGAGGTAGACCCAGACAAAGGCGCAATGACTCACTTAGCTGCCCCGTACCCTGGCCCAAAAAAGCTTAAACTTTTCTTTTAGTAGGGGTTAAATATACCAAAAAGCTTAAAGTTTATCTATTGGGCTCCTAACTTCAATGCCTTCTGCAATTTCAAGCCTGAAACCCGACACCCAAAACCCAAAACCCTAAACCCAACAAAACCCACAACCCTAAATACATGTGCAAATTTAGTGCCTCTGGGTTTCAACTCCATAGTCACAACGGGTCAGTCTCAGACATCTCGCTCGGCTGAGTGTCTACGCCCTTTAGTGTTTTTTTAAGGGGGTTTATCTAGGCTCTCGAGTTTAATACCTGGTTCTGGATTATGTTCTGGTTTAGGGTTTAGGGTTTAGGGTTTCGGGTTTAGGGTTCTCCAAAACAAACGCTGGAATCAGTGGCCTTCCGGCTGCCTTCCATCGACATCGGCTGCGGCGAAACTGTAGAACGCTACCGCCAACCGCTGGCTATCACGATGATCACGGTCTAGGATTGAGCCAGATGTCAAACGTGAAGGATGCCGCAACAATCTATGCATTGCTGTCTCCGTGTCGACGTGAAGCAGAATCCCTCCAAATCGTCAGAGCAGGAACAAGTTTCGTTTGTACAGGCCCATCACGAAGCACAGCACAGCGCTTTCGATGCACAGATTATACCTACTGTTTGGTCTGCACTTTGTACTGACATCCGGAGTTTGCTATTCTCACTGAACCCTGAATTCTTGCACCCTAAACCCCAAACTCCTGAACCCTGAACCAAACCCTAAACCCTAAACCCCAAGCCCTAAACCCTAAACTCTAAACCCTAAACTCCAAACCCTAAACCCTAAACTCTAAACCCTAAACCCTTAAACCCAATCCCCTGAACCCTAAAATCCCAAGACGACAGCTGGGAGGCTGGTAAACGTGGAAGGAAATGACTCTTTGATGAAATCGATGCCGCGCTCCTGCAGAGGGATTGGAGGGCTTTGCACTTTTGGGGTTTAGGGTTTATAGGAGTTTAGGGTTTATAGGAGTTTAGAGTTTATAGGAGTTTAGGGTTTATAGGAGTTTAGGGTTTATAGGAGTTTAGGGTTTGGGGGTGTTAGGGTTGAAGAAATAACAGGGCTCCTACAATCTCTTGACTTCGGAGGGCTTCATTAAAGTTGTAGGGTTTAAGTGCTTTGGGTGTGGACAGGATCAGGGGTTTGAGAAGTGATCGGCCAAGATGCGCCGACGTGCCTCAATATTGAACTGGAGGCGACAAGGTGTCAGCCAGTCTATGTAATAAAGGTGTCTGAACATTTAGAAGAAGTTTTGCGCAGCGGTCCGGGGTGTGAGAAGGACATTCTATCGGCTGTCAGAGCCCTAAACCCTAAATCCTAAACAACGCCTCACTATCCGCTTGCAAGCCTCGAACTGATGGGATGTAGACCATGTGTTTGGCATAGCGGTTTGGGGTCTCCCCTTCGCCATGAAGCCTGAAACATTTGTTTTTGTTAAGGGCCTGTTTCGTCGTTTGCGCTCCGCTTCAAGTTTAGGGTTCAGGGTTCAGGGTCCACAGATTCTGGAAATCCAACTTCCCACCTTTGCCTGATGTTTGACCTACGTATTGCCTCGCCCTCTCTCTCGGCCAGGCAAGCATTCCACGGTTTTTCAAAGCATAATTGTCAACGGACTACAAGGGGACACGCTTGGGCTACCGGATATGATCCGCAAAAAACGACCCGCCGTCCAAAAACAAACAAACCCTATAACCTTAAATCCTAAACCCCGAACATTAAAATCCTCAAGTCTTTTCCTCCATCAGGATCACCAGGACGAGGCATCCCAGCACGGTGCCTGCAGGCGCTTGGATCTGCTGACGATTTCGGACTTTCGAGGAGTTTTCGAGGCACATGCAGGCCTGATCTCATATAGGTTTAAAGTTGGGGTTCAGAGTTCTGAAGTGTTCGTGTAATTTTAGGGCATGCCGGGGTCATGATTTTCCATCCAATGTGATCGAGCCTTTGTCCTGTGCATGTAGCCATCTTAAAAGTTGCGAAAAGGGCCGTAGAAGGAGTTCGCAATAGCAAGCACACTGTGTACGTAGCGGAGTAATTTAGGCTTTGCGTTCAGCCACAACGGCCCGCCGCCGGTCTTTAGGATGCCCCCATGCCAGGAAGGGCAGGGCCTCTTTGCGTTTTAAGATTCAAGAAGTCTGAGTTCGGGGTCTACAGGGAAGATTTGGAAAGATTGAAACTCTTGGAACTCAGGTCACAAGACTACCCGAGCCTACAGCATTCGCGATCGCCGTGTAGAGCCATCTCTTCCTGGCAGAATTCTTATCTGAAGATCGCAGAACATCAGTCATTACCCATAGGCTCCTTAGTAGTTCCTGTTGGGGATTACCTTATAGGATTCTAAATATAAACCACAAACAGGAACGGAGCGTATGGGTAAGGCAAACACTGCTGTTTGGCTTGTGAGCTTGTAGATTGTCAGCGCTTGACAGAGCTGGATACAACTTCACTGGGCGGGGGTCGACTTGGCTTTGCATTCCTTACAAAGCCTTACATTCGAGGTACGCTATAGGGGCCTGAATAACTAGAATAGGGTTGTGGGGTACGTTATTATATAATAAGGAGCCCCAAAAATAGTATAGGTAATTATGAAGGCCCCTATATTAGTTCCTGCTAAGGTCGCAGCCCGGACCACCTCTCGAAGGAGGCTGCATTCTAGTTCTTCCATGGATCTGCTTGGCCCTAAAGGCCCTGAATCACAGGCTCCAATACTCAAGCAACCGCACCACACATGCAGAGCGCCACATAACGAAGCTCCATTGCTAATATGGCAGACGTAGTGGCAGGGCTGCCATGACAACCCTAAACCCTAACCCTATTTGCAGATCGTGGTACAACTGCCAAAGCTCTTGGCTCGGATCGTCGAACTCTATATTAGCTTCGTCCAAGCATCGGGTTCGCCAAGACGGCAGAGCAGTAGAGGATGACCTCAAAAATCCGCCCAAGGTTTACCGGGTTTAGGGTTTAGGGGTTGAGGGTTTAGGTATAGTCTCCATTGTAGTTCCTTGGTTTGGGTTTAACCCATGTTATATTAAGGATCCTAAAAGGTAACCCCAAAAAGGAACTACAATGGAGATTGTAGGTGGGGTTGCGAATACCCGAAGCCCGAAGAGAGGAAAGCGTGCTCAACCACAAATTGCATCAACCTGCCTGCTTGCCTGCCTGCCGGCGTACGTTATGCCCGTGCTGCAAGGTAGCAAGTGGCGCCGACATGACTAGGAGGAAAAGGTTGGCGCCGGAGAGAACGCCAACCTGTCATTCCAATTTTGCAGGTGAAGCTCGTTTGGGAACCCGGCTGCATCTGGTTTAGGAGCTATAATAAGGGGTGCTACAAGTTTAGGGTTTGATGTAAGGCTTAGGGTTTGGGCTTTGAAACTTCGATCTAGGAACTTGGGGAATGGACTTGCGCAGTTTAGTGCTGTCAAACAGCCATGAATACTCATTCCTTTGGAGCATGGTCTGGCGGATTTGTGAGTTTGTTGGTGCCAGACCACCAAGAACGTGTGTTTGTTTCGGGTCTGGGTCTGGGTGAGTCTGGTGCTGGGGACTTACTCAGCCTTGCCTGCCTAGGCAAAAGACCACATAGCTTTCCCTCGAGCATGCACATCCCAAAACAGAAACCCTCAACCCCCTACGAAAACATGCGTAAACCTTACACCCAAATCTAGGAAGCCTAAACCCCCAACCCCCAAACTTGTTCCACTCACACGGGATTATGGACAATTTGTCGTTTAGGACGGTTGAGGATACGTGAGAGACTGAAAAGCCCTGAAACCTAAACCCTAAACCCTTAGCCATCGATAAGCCATCAAACTGGCCGACGATAGCTCTGAAGACGGAATGTAGCGGCATTAACGCGTAGAATAGCATCATTCTACTACCATTAACTATGGAAACCTTGACGAATAGTATACTAAACAGTATCCTACGTCTTCAGAACCCCATATCGCAAGCTTCGCCCTCCTTGGAGACAATCTCTTGGCGGCCGAAGCACGAGAACTGGGAACCACCATGCAGCCGCGAAGGTTTTCAACTTCACCTCAGGTCCACGTTGCCCCACCCTGGTGTATGGTTTAGAAAAACCCTAAACCTGAATCCTCAGCCCCAAGAGAGTGGGGGGAGGGGGGGGGGGACCCTACAGCACTTCAGCGATGGGCTTTTCAAGCTTCGAGGAGTCCACGGATCGTAAGAGTTTCAACGTTAAACCCAGACCCCGGAGGGTCCATATATATATATATGTGTATATATATATATATGTACACACACATATATATACATATATGTTTATATTTATATCTATCTATCTATCTATCTATCTATATTATGATAATATACATATATATTTATATGTATACTAACTATATCTAAATTCTACTGCCACTATGGACGACCTATCTGCACGCACACACACGCAGATACAGCTGTATACATGTAGATGTAGATTTAGACCTAGATCTAAGTATGGATGCAGATATACATAAAGGTCCAGACATAAGTTTACATAAGGGTATATGTATATATATATATATAGGTATAAGTAGAGATATAGAAGAAGATGCAGACATGTGTGTATGTATGTATAAAAGGCTTCCTGAAGCAGGAGGTAGGGCCCACGCAAAGCAAACAAGAACTTAAACCCAGAGAGAGACCCTAAGTCCCACAACCCTCCACACTAAAGAACTACCAACTCCTGTTTGTTTGGCGGATATCTAATGTATATATAAATCTATACTAACTATATCCACAATATACTACCACTATGGACGACAGGACCCTAAACCCTGAACCCTAATTTTTTTTGACAGGACGCCAGTCCGTCTTTGAAAGCCATGGCCCTGATTTTCCTTTCCGGGGTCGCCACAAGGCAGGCAGTCGCCACAGGGCGGAGAGTCTCGTTTTCCCTTAGGGTTTGGGGTTTAGGGGAGGGGCTTAGGGCTTAGGGTTTAGGGTTTAATATAGTACCCTAAATAGTAGGATCCTTATAAGGACCCCAAAAGAGGGGCTTCACGCTTTGGGTTTAGGGTCGAAGTTCGGATGTAGGTTAGCTCTCGATGCAACAGCAAGTGTTGGTGAGATCAACAGCTGCCCACCTCCATGCCAACGTGTGGGAGTGTGGGAGTCACAGAGATCCCAAAACGATCTGATCATGCTTTGCATCACCAGCTGGCTATATGCTAATATGCTTAAGTACAGTTAAGAACACACAGGGTACCTAGGCATACAAACGCACATACCTGCATGCATACCTACAGGCATGCCTGCCTGCCCGTATGCAGGCAGGAAGGTGGGCAGGCTGCATGTATGCGTGTATGTATGTATGTATGTATGTATGTATGTATGTATGTATGTGTGCATGCATGTATGTATGTATGCGCTGTAGGCAATATGATCTACATATACATGTCCTATAGGCATGCAAATGTAGTGAGCTCTCTGAGTTGGTTTGCACCCCAGCATCCCAAGTCCTCGGGGCGTCAGCTGCTTTCCATTCCGCTCGCTGCGGAGCACTACTTCGAGCCAAGGTAGCAATGAGACTTAGAGCCTTACGGTCCTTTTTTGGTTTAACCAATTATATATTTAAGGATTTTATAAGGTATCCCCAAAAAGGAACTACAATGGAGACTATAGGTAAATTCCTTAGTTGTGGTATTGGGGCCACAAGAAACAGAATAAGGGTTCGGGGGCATGTTGTAGTATAACACGGATCCCTCAGACCTAGTATTAGCGCGCTAGTACATTGTAGGCTTTTGTACTAATATATTGTGGCATCTGGGGTTTTGCGGTTTAGGGTACAAGACATTTGCGGGTGCCGGCGGTGGGGGTTCGGTTATGTTCGGACTGCACCGCTTCTTCAAAGGTAGGCCTACAGGAATCCTCAAATGGGGGGTGGTTTAACAGACAAATCGGACTAGTGTATCGGTGCATACTGTAGTATAAACAGCTATGGTGTATCTACTATCAGGGGATAACACTACTACTGCGTGTTTCCAGCCTTTAATCTAAGGGGTTGCGGAAGTGGAAAGCCTCGCCACATCAACGATTCTTCCAACTTTAAACTCCAAATCTTACGCCCTATAAACCTTTAACTTCAAACCCTAACCTCTATTCTACACCTTAAACTCTTATACAGCCAACCCTAAACCCTAAACCCTGAACCCCTTATACCGCCAACCCCTAATCCCAAACCTTCCCTGTGGTCCCCGAAGGTGCGCCTTCCGAACGTTCGCCAAGGGGGCTCCTGGAGGCTGAGAGCTCAGGTGCCCAAAGGCTCCTATGTGCCTATACGGGAGGATACTCTCAAGGTTTAGGGTTTTGGGTGTCTGGGAGGATAGTTACTCTCCCAAATCGTGATAGGAAGTTCCTCTTATAGAAATCCTACATTCTACGAGATAGGTACTTAGGACCCTTTGGGTTAGTGCCTGGTGTCACGCTAGGGTTTTACTGCTTAGGGCTTACGCTCTCGCAACTCGGACTCAGCCAGACGAGGTCTCTCGGTTCGCGTTCGCACTACAGGTCGGGTTCTGGATTTAGGGTTTAAGGGTTCCCCCGAACCCGAAACACTAAACCCTAAACCCTAGGATTTAGGGTTTAAGTTTAGGGTTTAGGGTTGCAGGGGGGGAAGGGTTCGAAGGGTTCCTTCCTCCGCATCGTAGCGAAGCATCTGAAGTCCAGAGATGCCATCTAGTTGTCCTCTTCAAGTCCTGTTTGATCTAGCTTTGACTGTAGATCAAAGCGCTTAGTTGTCCAGGCTCTGTCCTGTAACGAAGGTTTGCTTAAAACGTTCTAGCTCCTTCGGCTGCACACCCTGAGGTGCAATGATCATCTTGGCGAAACTGGTTTCGGTGCAGGATGATAACAACCGAAACAATCCGGCAAAAAATGATTCGCCGATAATCAGCCTTCTTGCTTCGTTATCTCTATCTCTACTTTGTTTCTCCCTCCTTTCTGTCCCTCCGTCTCTCGCAGTCTCTGTCCCTCTCTTTCTCCCGATCTGCCCACCAGACTCCATGTGCTTCAGGGTCCTTTCTTTATATCGAGGTCGCAGGTCTGCTTAGACCAATACAGCTTCAAGACCTGCGGCGCGAAGATGGCTCTACTTGAGACGCTTAAGGGCTTTAGGGTCCAAGTTTAGGTCTTCGGGGCTTCGGCGCTGACACTTGGAGGGGAGGGGTTAGGAATCTTTGTTGAATGAGGTTTACTGTGGTGCCAGTCTTGGGAATGCCAGCTACAGTAGAAGCGAAAGATAGAGCAAATCGAGCCAAAGAAATGCATTCCACAGAAGAAAAAACTGAAGTGGATCCTACATATACCTGGGACTCTAATTACCTACAGTTTTATGGGTTCCTACCTACTAATTAAGGGGTCATGGCTGCTAAACTGTAGGTAAAGAGAGTTACAGGTAGAACTCAGCAAAAGGCCACATATGGCCAGATCCACGCATCTCGATCCGGGCATGGGATCAGTGTTTTCGTCTCCGGATTCCTCTTTACTTTACGAAGTGTCAAGGCGGCTCAGGCTTCGAGCCCCGGGGTGGCTTTGTCCCGGCTGAGCTCTGACAAGTCCATACCCCAGGTGGCTTTGACCCTGAGCATTGAGGGTTTAGGTTTTGGGGTTTAGGGCTTATAGGGTTTAGGGTTTAGGGCCTAAGTTTAGGGTTTAGGGTTTACTGACAAATCCATACCCCGAGTAGGGAATGCCGCTAGGAAGGAAGTGACCTCTCTTGCAATCCAAATCTGCGCGCAGCTGGCGATAGATTCCACCCTTGTACTGTATGGCATCCTGCGTGAGTACACAAGGCTTGGCCAAACATGTTGCATGTCGTATCGCTGATACCAAAAAATCCTCCCAGGACCAGCAATCATGATACACATCTGTCTGCAACAACCGCACTACGACTTTGCCTTGTTGAATCGCCCAGTACTCCTTGTAAAAGTCTCTCTGCGGCACTCCACCATCGTCCGCCACCCCTCCCCACCCACGGCCAAAGTGTCCAATCTCGCCATCCAGCTCGATCAAGATGGTGTCGTGGTATAAGCCAAAGTCAAACGGTAGGGGCCGCTGAGTGTCTGGATTCGTACACCCCTTCACCTGCGACGTAATCGTCCAGTCCGGGTATTTCGCGCACAGCCAACGTCTCAGCTTCGCTTCTGTCTTCCTGCTGCAGAAACATCCAGGTGCTCGACCCTTTTGCAAATTGACCAGCGAAGTGCTCCTTGAGCGATGGCCACATTTCTTGCAGGTCACATCGATTTTCGAAGTTTGATGCTTAATATTGGCTCTCCACCAAGCCCAAGTCATGTTGCTTGCGCCGTACTGCTCGCCATATCGGAGCTTCAATATCGAAAGACAACGGGCATGCCCTTCCCGACTCAACCAGCGAACGCCACCATTGCAGAAGCATCCAGGTGCGTGACCACGTCGCAAATTGTCCAGCGAAGTGCTCCTTGAGCGATGGCCACATTTCTTGCAGGTCACATCGATTTTCGATTTGTGATGCTTAATACTGGCTCTCCACCAAGCCCAAGTCATGTTGCTTGCATCATACTGCTCTCCATGTCGGAGCATCAGTATCGAAAGACAGTGGGCATGCCCTTCCCGACTCAACCAGCGGACGGCGCCATTGCAGAAACATCCAGGCGCCTGACCACTTTGCAAATTGTCCAGTGAAGTGCTCCTTGAGCGATGGCCACATTTCTTGCAGGTCACATCGATTTTCGAAGTTTTATGCTTAATATTGGCCCTCCACCAAGCCCAAGTCATGTTGCTTGCATCATACTGCTCTCCATGTCGGTGCTTCAGTATCTTCCAGGCTCGATGCCATCCAGACTCGCTTGCCCATCGAAACCTAGCAGGCTGCAGTTCTTCTCTTGAGACTGCCCGCCTCTGGACAAAGAAAAGGCTTCGTGCTGACGCCAGCTCCTGCATGGCAAGGCAGCCTGCTCTTTTGGAAAGGCATGAGCTCAAATGGGGGATCCAACCCCTGCAAGGCCTCACCCGGGCCAACAGTATTGCTGTAAGGGCACACCACGGAAGCAAGAACCTACGGCGTGCCATGCTGATGGTGCTGAGGCCGTGTTTTTTACGACCCAAGGCATATGCCTGCGATAAACACGGTCTGGACAATTGCCAATTGCGGCGTCTTTTGCAGGATTGATCTACAACACAGCGGCGTCGAGGATCAACATGCAAAGTGCATCAACGAAATACCACCAACCGGACATCAAAAGTAAAACCAACTTCGATCAACCCGAAATTCAAACTCAAACTAGTTACCAGCAGCTGAAGGTTGAGTAGAGTCGTGCTTTACGGCAAGCTAGCAGGCGACCGGTAGGAAGCTCTCCTAGCTGAAACCAGTACCGACGGCGGGTAGCCGAGGTCTTGAAGCTATCGCGCAGCACTGACACGAAGCCACCGCCCATCAACAAAACAACAATCCAAGGATGTGGCGCCTAATACATTTCACCTGTTGTCATCTAGAACTCAAACAAGCCGCGACTCTGCAAACATGTGAGCCCCCGAGAATAGGGCACACGAATGTCCGTTGCTTCATGTGCCAGCAACGGTAACCAACTTTCCGGCTTCAAAGGACTCGACTGCCGCCCTTTATTGGGACTCCAGAACCCGATAGTACCGGTTTCAGCTTCGGACCCATAGACCGAAACCCTGAAAAGGCGAAGGTCACTACCAGCCCGGGCACTGGGACGCGAAGGGTCTCCATGGATTTAGGGCTTATAGGTGTGAAGCGTGGTCTGTAAACCCTGGGCGGGCCTTCGCGGCCAGCCACGACCTTCCACTGACTCTGTGATCCCGTCGGCTTTGTAAGTTCTAAACTTTGCCGTAGTAAAAGAGAGTCGGAGTTTAGGATAGCTCTGACACGATCCCCGGTTTGCAAATATACTTACTGTCCGATTTGGCCGACAGATTCAATCCTGGGCACAACTGCCCATGAGATCGCCGCATCCGTCATCATTCAATTGCATTTTGCCCAGCTTAATGCATGTTTTAAAGTGAATTGTATTGTAACCGACTAAAGTTGAATTTGTGTTAGGATGTCCAGCTGGCTTCCCAGTCTTGTTGACCCTCGGGGCCCGTTGCAACGCAGTGCGAAACGGATTGTAGCAGAAACACATCTGCAGTCAGGTTGCTTCGAGGTCATGGACCAATATTCCACCTGCCGATGCATCGGGCATGGAAAGAGTGAAAGTTGAGGAGTCAGGACAACAGTCATGCAGGACCCATGGAATGGATGAGTCGAGCTTGGGCCGACAGGCCCTCTGCTTCTTAAGGATCAACTCAAAAGGCTGCAACCAGGCAGGTCTTCAATGTCTGATATAGTCTGTATATGGCTGTATATCAAAGCCCGCAGACAAGACCCCATACCGTTAGACGAAGACACCAGACAAGGAAACAGGAAACCCTATAGCCGAATTTCTTGGCTGCGGCATGGCAAGTCCGAAGACTCGCTTGGTAGGTTGTAAGTTCTGTCAGACAGCTCGAGTGCTCGTCCAAGGAAGGACACTCGAGGGTGGCTCTCTTTGCCGCACTCGAAGCACTACACTCACAAGCCAATATAGCATGCAGTATCGACAGCTACATTTGGGACAATGTGTATTACGAACAAGACGACAACTGGTCCTCCTCATCTTGGTCCTCATCATCATTTCCCGATCATCATCCTCAAAACCATACTTGTGACGGCCATTACCACCATCGTCGTCACGTGGTTAGCCCATGTCGTCGCCATCGCCATTGGGACCAACGACATCAACATGATGGCCACTGCTACCATCATCCTCAGGCCGACGGTGAAGTCAAGCATTCTGAAGACGGTAATGACCATGTTTAGACTTCGGCAGGAACGCAAACTCGAGCTCAGGGTGCTGTTGCTCCTGAAATAGACATCACCCCCCCCCCCCCGCCCAGATTCTGACAGCCGCATGGATCTTTTGCAAAAATAGCCCTGGCACCAAAGCTCTGGATCCGTGTCATCGCAGAACTCTGGCGTTGTGGGTACTCGTATACTCTCCAATGTAGTCACAATGTAGTTCCTTCTTTGGTTTTCTGCTGTGTTTCTTGCAGGGTCCGAATCATGAAACAGGTTAACGAAAGACAGGACCTGCATTCGGGACTCTAGAGACACCCTAACCCTTCACCAGAAAGCACTAAACACATGAACCCCATACGAGCCGTTGTTAATACCGATCATCCTAAATCCAGACCCAAGTACCTGGGCCCTCTGAACTCTTGGGTTATGCCTTCACCCAAGCGAAACCCTACTGGACGCAGCAGACCACCACCACGATGAGCCCAAAAGAAGCTGTAAGCCCCATATCCAAAATCCCCACAAGCGTGAATCAAAAAAAAGCCCCCCGCCCATTTTGCTAATTACCGGCCGAATCCGCTAAAAGCCACCCCCTAAATCCTAAACCCAGAATCCCGAAAGCCTAGTTTCCGAAGCCCTACCTACAGTCTCCNNNCCAATTTTATATTAAGGAACCCAAAAGGTAATCCCAAAAAGGAACTGCAATGGAGACTATAGGTACATCCACACTCCCGTGCCGAAAACCCCGAAAGATGCCTTGTCCCCCACGGTAAAGCGCGAGAGACGGAGTCGACTTGCTGGGAGCATTCGCACCAACGACTCCTTGCAGTCCTCCGTTGCCGGAAAAACTTCAGAGGTAGGGTTTGGGGGGCTTGGGGCTTCGGGTTTAGGGTTTGCTGAGGGCTCAGGGCTTAGGGTCTAGGGAGTCTAGGGTTGTTTAGGGTTTAGGGTCCCGGGTTTGGGGTTTTAGGATGCTTAAACGGGTGCTATAAAGGCTCTTTCAAAGGTGCCACATGGGCTCTTTAACTTGGTCGCGAAAAGGGCTCTGTAACCATTCCTCGAAGAGGTTCTTGGAAGGGTCTCCATAACAGTTCTACAGGCTTGTATTGGGTCTGGCTCTCAGGCATCCAAATCAGTTGTTTGAGGAATGTACCTTAACTCATCGGAGGTTTCAATTTCAGGTATACTCCCTAGCTGATAATGACACTTAGAGTCTCTGCATGGGGAATCAACTCAAAGCCGTTGCTGTGTAGTTCCTTGAGCTGTGAAGCTCAGTTAATGAGCGAAGGTTGTGATCTAAAGTGAAGCTACATCGTGTGACATGACATGATCTGACATGAAAGGAGATGACATGACATGATATGACATGACATGACATGCTATGATATGTCAGAGTCAGGACATGAAAGGGCATGTGATGATGTGATTTGGCATGTCACACGATGGGTTGCCTCAGAGGATTCTCAATCCTATGTTAAACCCTGTTTCGTGTGACAGGTGTGGTGCTGTCGGTATGCTCGGCAGTGTTGCTTGCAATCTACTACAGTACTTCTCGCCTAAGAGGCTCAGTATGTATCTTGAAGCACAGAACGCCATCAACCCCCCACCCCCACCCCCCACCCCCCTCACCCGCAAGAATAAACAAAAAGTACGCAGCTATCCCCCCATGTGCATAAACTTGGTAACCAAAAGAGGGACCTACATTGGAGAGGATAGGTGGTGGTTAAGTTTCACGGTTTTGGGCCCTCGGCGCCGCAAGGTTGTGAAGGGGACTTAGTTAGGTGTCGGTATACTGCAGCAAAAGTCTTGAAAAGCTTCATGCGGTTTAAAGAACCCTGAAACCACTACGTTGCCAGTACAGAACGCTTCAAGGAACCCCCCCAACAAAAAAAAATCAGATGCCTTCCTGACAGGGCTTTGGTGTGTCTGCAAGCTAGAGATACTTTGCCGGTCGAGGGCTCAATGTTTTATTCAGGACACGCCTGATGACATTCACGAAAACTGTTCCAGTTGAGTGTTTATGGGTAACTGCTTCTTTGAAGCTGTATCTTCAGAAATCCGAAATCTTAAGACTAGTTTGCGGGAAAGTGGCAACATCGAAGACAATGATTTTGTCTTGCCTGAGATCGGTGTTGATGCAACTGTCGGCATACAAATACATGACCCATTTGCACGGTTACAGCCGATGTAGGGATAACCTGCTGCAGACAAGCATGTTGGCTGAGGACATGTCTTGGTAGTGCTGACTTAACTTAACCGCGCCATTCGGAGTACTGGCAACAGAAGCACTGGGACCGCTCAGCCTGGACTTCACAAGAATCAATCAAGTCAGAACCATCATCATCATCATCATCATCATTACTCATTACTATCATCATCATTATCACCACCATCGCCATGTCATGACCACCGTGACCACAGCCAGTACACACAGAATATGCCGAGCAGCTGATATCTTCGGACGACCTGAGTTGGCTGAGCACTTCCGAGCCGGCACCGAGCAGCAAACAGAAGTAGTAGGAATAAGGCATAACGCTTAGGGTTTAGGATTTTGGGTTT